TTCAAGCTAAGGATGGGAGCGCAGGCTTGTGAGACATCCCTGACACCCTTTAGCTGCAAGGAGCCACCAAGTCTGTGCCTTGATGCTCCATACATACTGGATCCTCCAGAGACTCCTATGGAAGCACGTGCATAAAACCACAATATGCAGAATTCAACAGCTTGCCAACACATGCCTCCATCTGCAACAGTCTAACAGAAATCCTACAGGGACCAAAGCCTCTTCCCTCTCCTTACCTTGCTTTACCTTAACTATTTTTCCACCCATCAACTTAATTTCATGGGAGTGCTCAACCCTCCTCATCACGCACAGAGAGAAACCACTTCCACTGCTCCCATCACACCGTCTCCAATGGCCTCAAATCCTGCAGATCACTCACGCTGCCCAATGTGAGGCTGTGAAAGCCAAAGGCAGCCCTAATGGCTCAGGGAAATCTTATTAGTGTCCAAGTGGTGCCAAAACTGACTTTGCTTTCTGCTGATGAGCAAGTTGCATCTCTTGCAGGCTCCTGCACCTTCAGCATTCAGGCTGCTGCATCCTCCCATTGCCCTAGGGAAGATGCAGTGGTGCCAAAGATCCCAAAGAGCAACAGAGGACATTTGGAGCCTCATGGGCTGTCCCCTTGCCCCTGTTATGAGGAGAAATCACAGCAGCAGAGCTCCGGGCAGACGAGCACAGGGGCAGTCACTCCAGTCACCAGCACATCATTTCCCTCTGCCAAGGTCCGCTGGCTCCGCTGCCTCCCCATCCCAGAGCCTGTTTTCATTGCTGCTTATCTCAAATTCGGAAATCCACAGGAATTGCTGTTTGAATCCGACCCTCGTGGGGATTGTTTTCATGGGGGGACTTTGCGTTTAGTCGCTGCTTTGTTTTCAAGCTGTCTGCTTCTAGTGGGAGTTTGCTGGAACCAAAACTGGAGAAAAGCTCTTGGAATTCACCCAGGGAACAAAAGGGCTTTTGTGCAGGAGGATCTGGAGGACTCGGCTGCTTCCATTGCTGCTACCTTCATCTCCGTCCCTCCCTGCCAAAAATTACCTGCAGTGGTGCTGGAGGTGGGATACTGCCTGTGCAGGGGGATGGACAGGTAGGAGGATGGACACCTTCACAGGGAGAAGCATGAAGGGCTTCCCAAATGTGCATGCATCGTGGTGTGCAAGGCTTATCACAGCCTTTCAGCCAAGCCTTGTGCTCCCTGCCCTGGCTTTGCCCCTTGCATAGGGTGGGCTCTGCTCCTCAGTGCATGCAGCAGCACCCTTATACATCTCCCAAGGGTGCCATGCTGGTGGGTGCTTCCATGGGGTGATGCAGCCCTGCGGATAAGGGGATGAATCTCCAACAACCAATGTGTGAGCAGGGATGCTGCTGAGCATCACTCCTGGTACTCCATTTGCTTTGGTTTACTTCCCCTTATCCATCAAGATTCCACCTCAAAACACCAGTGAGTGACCACACGCAGCTACAGGGCGCTGAGCAACTTCCCATACAAATACCTAGCAGTCACCAGCAAATCTCCTCTATCCAGCATAAAAGCAGGGGCCCTGCCTGCAGGATTTGCCTTAAATCCACCAGCCTAGCTACAAACACTTCTACACTTCCTAAACCCACTGCTCCCTGGAAAACATGACACAGTGAAGGAGCATCCATCCCTCCCCAGTGCTCTGCAGAGCCTCAAAACCCAGCTTTCTTAGGGCAGTAAGATCCCCTCTCCATCAGACATCCTGTGGATGCCTTTTTGCTCAGGGTCTCCCTCCAGTTTCTATTTGGCTTTAACGTGGTCAGGATTTTCCCCCAGCAGATTCTTGTGAGGTGCTTTTAAAGAAGAATCACAGAGCTTCATTCCCCCTAATAAACCAGAGCACCCTCTGCATCTGTTCCCATGCCGAGGGGTGACAGGTCCATGCATCCAGCAAAGCGGGCAAGAGGCAGCTCCAGCACCGTGCATCCCGAGCCAGGGCCTCTTGGAGCTGTCAGATGTGCTGCCAGTGTGGAGAAATGCAAATTGCTTTGGAAAAGGAAGGTGACATTCCCACCCGTGTGCTGACTGCTGCTGCGCTGCACACTCAGACCCAGGCCTGCGGCTCCAGCTATGAAGGTGCTTATGTCTTGATGGTACTTACACTTAAGCACGTGCTTACTGTGAGCACAGGCTCCTATTAAGGCTTTATCAAGCGCCAGGCTGAGCAGGAAGCTGTGCATCAAGGCTGTGCCCAGTCTGTTGTCTTAGCCTTTGCAATAGCTTCAGGCTTCAGCCATACCCATCAAAAGGGACAATCTGCACACAGGCACTGGTGGATTCCCTCTGTAATTGGTGGTGTTCCCTTATCATCACCCTCCCAAGATGCTGCCCCATAGCATCTACTTGCAAAGCTCCATAGAATCATAGAATCAACAAGGTTGGAAAAGACCTTTAAGATCATCAAGTCCAACCATTACCCCAGCACTACCAAGTCCACTACTAACCCGTGTCACTTAGAGCCTTATATACATGGTTTGTGAACACTTCCCAGTGCTAAGGCTCATTCACAATGAATCAGGAGGCTTAAACATAGGAAAGGCAGGACTTTCCCACACCAGAGGGTGTGATGGGGCAGGAAGGAGTCCCTTGAGGAGCTCAGCAAACCATCCCCGGGGAGAGATGCACAGTTACTTGTCCTTAGCTCTAAACCACTGATCCCCAAGTGTTAATGCAGCCCCATTTCTCTGCAGAGAAGCTTTTGCTCGCTGAGCAGGATTGCACCCAGTGCCTGTCTTGGTGTCATCACCCTCACAGCAGGACAGAATAAAATCTAATCAATACCACAGGGCGATCTGAGGTCTCGTTTGTGTGCTCCAGGCAGCCGCAGGAGGCTCATTTTACCCAGCACAGATTTAATTTGCTCAGCATATTGTAAATGTTGGACATTTAAACTCCATCGTTATCAGCCATCTACAACTGCTGATGCACTGCATATAAAGCCTGGGTTTATAATTTTCTGCTCATGAATAAGCCACCTTAGGACAAAATGAGCAATTTATGTTCCGCAGAGAGAAAACTGCCCATTGATTTGGTCATTTTGCAGTTATACAGCATCAATAACTTTTACAGCCAAACGGGAACAGAGGAATGGGCCACAAGCCATTGCTTTAGCAAATATCCTCACCCTCTGCAGAAGCCCCTGATGGGAACTCCGATGGCTACATCAATCCCCATGGTCTGGCATCCACTGTACTCCTATGGGGAAAACAGCACCTCTGGTCGCAAACAGTGTCAGAGTTGTATGAGACACCTCCAGACTGAATTGCTGCTCTCCAGTCCCCAAGCTGTGCTGTTCTTTGGCAGCTGGCAACTGCTTGTTTCAAGTGAAAGTGTCCAACTGAGGTTAATTTTAGGACCACTTTCCTCTTTGGAGGTGCAAATAACACTCAGAAGGATTTCAAATCAACGCCTCATCTCTTCCAGCGATATGATGCTCACGCTCCGTCCTTCGCCCTTCCAATTGCCTGCCTGCATTGGAAGAACACCACAGCACTGGCATGGAAGGGGAAGGTCCCTTCCTTGCTTAACACCTTGTCATGGGGCATTTTGGTAAAGGTTCAGCCAAATGTTGTGACTGAGTTTTCAACACAGTCAAGACTTTGCCCTATCTGCCTTTGTGCTACCCCACCAGATAGCTCTCTTGTTTTGATGGAAGAGCTTATTTTTATGCCTACATCATTAAAGATGGGATTTTGACAGTTCTGGGCAGCGTAGAAGGGAGGCACTAACTCCTGCTCCCTCTGCTGGCAATGCCTCACCTAAAATGTGTAGGTCCTACTTTAAAAACACACAGGGAATCTATCCACAGCGAGAAGCCAAAGGCAACTGCGGGGAAACCAAACCCAGGTCCCCAGCACTGAAACAAAGCAGGAGGCTCCAATGGAACAACCACCCTCCCGTTTGCACTGTCAGCAACAACAGCAGCAGCTCCAAGATACCCCCAGCAGCAAGAGCTGGAACTGCTCCATCACCACTACAGCAGCAGCGAGTCCATCTGACCACGAACATCAAGTCTTGGTCCTGCAACCACTTCAGGTTCTATCTTTGCACTAAGAGAAACCTCAAAGCCCTGCATGCAGGATGCTGAGCAGCTCATGGGGGTCCAAGGGAAGCTCTTTCAAGGTCAGAGAGGTTTTAGCCACAGGTCAGAGAGCATGAATTACAGCTCTCCTTCCAGACACCTGCTAGGAGCATACAATCGCTTGTACGCTATATAATAAAGCAATGAGGCTGTGAAGGAAATCAGCCTTTCCCCACTTTTTATCATGCAATGTTATAGTAGTTTGGAAAACACATTGAATAAATGCATTATGGTGTAGTGCTGGGGCAGAAAACAAGTTTTACCCCATAAAGTGTCCCTTACACAACCGGACGCCTATGTTTTCTATCCACACATGTCCACGTGGATCAAACCCCATCAGGTTACACCTCTCCACCCAGCTTTCTAAATCAGGAGCTGTACATACAAAAACCCCTTTATAAGCCTTTCTGTCAAAGCCTCCATAGAACTCCCTGTGTGAGGTTCAGGACTGTAGTGTCAGTTATACACACACACACGTTCACAAATCCAGCGCTGCTTTCTGAGTTGCAAGAACAGATAAGCAGAAACGGGATCAAAAGAGCCCAAGAAAAAGCAGGGTGGTATAGATCATCTACACAGATGCATCATGTCCACCCTACTTAGCAACCAGGACAAAATACATCCCAAACCTTGTAAATTCTTGTGTGTGCTCAAACCACAAGCACATTCAGTCCCACTGACTCCCGCAAAAGGACTCCTATGCTTCAAGTTTAGCACGTGCACAAGTTGCTTCAAGATCAGAGCAAAATAAAACCCCTATTTAGCTTCTCTTTGAAGGGGAAAAAAGAAGATTCCTCAGACCCCACTCATCCAAATGAGAGCCCTGCTTGGCTACAGCTGCTCTGCATCGGCTCTGATTCAATCTCCCAGATTGCTCCTTGTGTTTCAGCTGCAGCAATGACTTTTTAAAGCAAGCTCCTGGAAAATGAGCCTCCCCCCTTTGCAGGAGGTGCTGGCCAGGGAGATGCTTGCACAGGATGAGCCCTAAATGCCTGTGCCACAAGGTAAAGTAAATGCTTGTTGACGCTGGAAGCGCTGGCATTGTTCTGAGGTCTGCGCAGGAAGAGCGAGAGGAGGAATGCTCTCCTATTGCAGGAAGCTGTTCCAGCCTCTTATCAGACATAAAGCTTCTGATTCCTTGCGGGGGAAGTACCAAATGTTTTTGAGGGGAAGGAAAAAAAGAAGGGGAAAAAATAAATCGCATGCTTGGCTGTAAAGGAAGCTGCCTTAATGGCATGAATGAAACCCAAGTCGTGCTATGTGGGAGCTTGCTGCGCTAAATAGCTTAGGCAGCTACAAGCAGGAGTGTGTTACCCTACTGTCACCCCATAGAAACCCGGGGATGGGCAACCCAAAGGTCCTTCTCTCTGGCCAAAAGGTGTCTGCAGCCAATTGAGCCTTTCTTGTCTCCAAACACCAACTTACTATGAACCATCTCTGAATGCCGTGTCTGTGTCGCCCTCCCCAGCTGCCAGGGCTATTTTGGGCTCTCCCTCCAGTTCAGATGCTGCTTCGTCAGGGGCTATTTCCTGATGTCCTTCCACACACTGCACTGCACTGATCTGCTGTTTGGGTTAATCTGTAAAACTGATGCTTCCTTGGCAGGAATTCAGGTTCTCCATCGAGATGCTCCAAGTTTTAGTGGCAATGAGCAAATCACTGGTGTCCTTGGGAAACATAAGGACGTCGGAGCCTATGTAAATGGCCTTTATGTTTCTTCTAGAGGGTGTCTCCCAACGGACAACTCTGACACATAGAATGGCTCTCTGGTTACATAAGTACCTGTATATGTAATGGATATATAATGGCTGTCATGGCTTACTGCATAGATATCTGAGTAAACCTCAGTTTTAAGTCTGTTCACCATGTTATCAGACTTTGTGCTCCATTTGAGCCAAGCACTTCTGGTCTCTAGCCTGGTTCCTCCTGATTGGTTATTAGGGGATTGTGGCTCCCATCTCTTACAGTTAAAAAGCAAAACACCCTTTGGAACAGGTTGAAAAACAACAGTATCTAGAGCATTGCTTTTCTTCTCCTTTAATAGGCTACTCTGTCAACCCTCTGCTTGTTAAATGAGAGAAAAATCTGTGGGCATGCAGTGAAGGTCAATCCTGTGGTTTTTGAGAGCATTTAATTAGGACGGTTAAGTACTGAGGTCTGCTTGGGAGTGAGCTTCTCCATTAAGAATCTGCATCCTTCTGTCTGCAGAAGCCAGCCTGCAAAAGGGGGCTGCAGGTTAAGGCTCCATCTCCATGTCCAAACCTTCAGTGGTGTTTGAGCTTAGGATGAAAACTGTTCTGGATTGCCTGTCCCGTTGCTAGCTCCAAAACCTGCATGGCATGATCCTGCATGGATCTCTAACATCACAGAGTCCCAGCTGGCCAGATCCTGGCCTCCTTGAGCAGGGGCTGGGGTGACCCACTGCACCCTCAGGGACCCATCAGGGCTGCCAAAAGCCCTGTGCTGTGGCTTGTACTCCTCCCGAGGCATTGCTTGCTGAGTGCTGAGGCTCAGTGCTTAAACAAAGCTGCTTAAGATGTAGCTTTGCCCAAAGGGGCTTTGGCATTTTGATGATAGCATGTAAAATCCCTGTCTTCCCCTTCATCTGGCTGGAAGAAGGGCAGATGTACTTAGCTGCTACAGGTGCTTCACTCCTTGAATGAAGCTACAATAAATGTCACATATCTGGGCTTTAATCCCTGGGCAGTGGAATCATAAATGCTACAATCACCGGCTGCCACTTCCTTTTCAAATGGCCACAGCATCAGCTGTTTGAAACAAGAAATCAACTCCAGTCCTACAAAGCCAAACTTGGTTTTATTTCTCCATGCTTTCGCAGCACTGGAGACCCTAATTGCAGGCAATTAAAGCAGCCTTAGGAAAAGAAGGGCTGTGTTGAAATCCAATCTGGAAAGCATACCTCTAAATAGGTGCCAGTTGCCAGTGCTGGAGAAGCGCCCCAGGAGAAAGAGCTGGTGCTGCACAAACCCTCCACATAGAGCTGGGGCTAGAAGGACCTTCTCCTCTCCTGTGTCCTGGTTACGTGAACACTTCACCTCCTGCATGCAGGCACTTGCATGAGCATGCAGATCCAGCAGGCTCTTACTGGGGCTCCTGCATGTGGGAGATGCTGGGAGCTGATGAGGGCAGACTGAATGGAGCAAGTCCAGGGAAAGAAAGTAATCGATGCTGGGCTTGCCTTTAGAATGTTCCCTCTCCCTTTTTGATGCTGGTGCTCTGTAAAGGTTTGCCTTTGCCAGATGGGGACTTCCATTACTTTAGAGCTGTCAGAACAACAGAAGACTTCTTTGAGTCATTTTCTGTATCTGACCTTGAATTACTGGAGCAGCAATAAACATTAAGAGCAATGAGAACAGAGTGAAGCTGTAATTTTGACATTATAACTTGCTGCTCAAGTGTCAAATAAGCCCTGCTGAAAACACAAATAAGGGTCCGACCCTGCTGCAGGATGAAAACAAGCACAAAAGCATGCTGCCTGGGACTTCCACAGCCCAGCAGCCAGATGATGCTCTGAGGCCATTTGGCACTGATAAGCATTGTTTCACTGAGTGCAATTACATATTTCTGTTTAGAAGAAAGATTCTCCATCAAAAGCAGCTCCCAAGCCTCTGCTGATTCAGCCTTCATTAGAGGCCTCTTACTGCGGACACAGTGAAGTGGTGACTCCTGTGCTTATTTTCTATTGCTGCCTTATCTTTGGCATCTCATCTGCAACTTCTGCTGGGTTTATTTTTTTCTCCACTGCTTTCATCTGAGTGCAAGAGAAGTGGCTGCTGCTTGGGCTTCAGTTCTTGCAATGGTTTTTGATCTGCCTGGGTGCAGGATAGGAGAATCTAGCCCCGATTACAAAACTGCAGGCTAAGTAGGCTAACAAAACAGCAACTGCAAGAAACTGGATCAGCTTTGCTCACTGAGGTTTTCCTGCTCAAACCGGGGGGGGGGAACATGCTTTCTCTTTGCAGTCTTGCTTACAAATCTGAAACTATGCAAACAAGCCACAGTCATTGCTCCTACAGGAACTCCAAGGGATAGTAGCCTGAGTATCTCCAACCCCGAAGTACCCTCCTGATGCAGTCAGATGCTGCTTTTACCATGCCCATACAAATCCAGGCCCCTACTTGATGATGGGATGCAAATCCAGAGCGATGGTCAGCCTCATCTTTGCTAGCACCAGCAGACTAAGATGCACAAGTGGCTGTCTGGAGCTTCCATAAAGGATGTCCAGCATCTGTCTGCAGCATCTCCAATGTAAAGGTGATTCAGAAGTGCTTTAGCACCCCAGAGACTTTCACAGTGGGATGAACCCTCTAAAACGTTAGCTGGGTATTTGGCATTCCTAGCTTAAAAGGAAGGATAGCTTCAATTTTGGCTTTGAGGCAAAAGTAAGCCCTAAAATTGACAGTCTCAGGCTTCCCCTCTCCAAACTTCTTTCCCCTGAGCAGAAGACACTTGCATTGACACTTGTCACCATGCAGAATACAGTGGATCTGAAGACAAAGGCAGACTTTTTGCACAGCGAGTAGATATGGAAATTGCACTGAACGGCCTTCACTGCTTTGCTACCCCAAACCATAATATCTAACATGGCACCGCTTCAGGGTCCTAGATCTGCTTTCCTGCTAACTTTGCTCTTGCTGATAACGCTCATCTCTTCCACTCTTCCCAGACAGGCCCCAAGGAAGGGAGCAAAGTAACTCCACAGGTAATGAAGCATTTAATTATTTATTATTTTAATTATAGCTCTGTCCGGGTCCAAAATGAACAGAACAGTCCTGCAATTTACCCAGCCACTGGAGACTGACTCAACACTGTATAATGATGCTGCTGGTGACCATGCTGCCAACTCATGCAATGCACCCATCATCCCCCAGAATTAAGTGGCCACAGTCAAGGACATGCAGGTGCTCTGGGTTTTACCTCTTTGCCTTACTCAGAACTACTCGTGCCACTCGCTGCCATTGGGAAGCTGTGACCTGGGAGATGCAGAGCTTTGCTCTGGAGCTGGGGGAGACCTGCTATGGGCAGGCTGAGCATTAGAAATGCAAGTTCATGGGGTGAAAGCAAGGACCCCATGGGAAAAGGCTGGGAATCATGACCGTGCACAAAGATCAGGGTAACAGACCCTGCGGTCCTCCAAGTGCATCCCAAGGGAAGGCTGCAAGCGTCTTCCCACTCCTGTGCTATTAAAGCTCCCCTCTTTTCCTTCTGTTTCCAACTTATAAAAGGGATCTGAGCTTTTGTCAGATGTGTTTTTTAAATGCTTTTCCAAGAGGCTTCTATAGGTGCTGTTATGGCTCTTCTCAGAAGAGAAAATGGACAAGTGACATCAAATGAATGTATCATCTGGGGGGAAAAAGGCAACTTTTTAGTCATCTTGTATACCTGCAACCACAGAACACAGGATTTGCAAATCCACCATGTGACTTTGAAGGTAATTGTGTTCCATTAATGCCAATACTCTTGGAGGAATGAAGTGTCTCATCTCTAAATTACTTCTGTGGTTTTAATTGAGTACCATTTGCTTCACCTTAGCAGCTTGTGTATGTGTCAGAGGAGGGAATTCACCCCAAAGGAAGTTCCATTTTTTTGGGGTGTCTAAAGTAGCAAAATAAGTGTGGCAATGAGAAACCTACACTTTTCTTCAGCTGGGAGGAGAAAACAGCTCTTTGCTCCTTTTCCCCTGCAACTTACTGCTTTTATTGCTATAATTACTTCTATGGTTTGAGCTTTCAATGCCTGTGTCTTCCCATCCATGTTGGGACACAAGGACATGGCACCCTGCAAATGCACCCTGGTTTTTGCACCCCCAGAGTCACTGTCTGGGCTCGAAGGGGTAAGACCTGCAAGCAAATGCCTCCTTAGTGCAATGCAGAGGGAGTCAAGGCATCAGCTAGAGGGGCTTGATGGGGTGTTTTGGTCCCTGCTGTGCAGAGCAGTGATTCGGTTTATGTCAGGCATCGTTTCTAACACTTTCTACCCTAACCAGTTGGTTGATTAACTCATGGTTAATTCCTCCAGCATGGCATTACATGAGATTTTAAAACCTCTTTATAATCGCTTGCCCCCTCTTAATCCAAAGCAGGTACACAGGCACTTCCACCATGGAAGTGATACAGCAAAGCAGGGTGAAATGGTAATTCAACAAGATAATCCTAAAACATTAAAAGTAAATACACAGCATGGACTGAAATTGGCTGTCTGCTGCTAGACCAGGCTTTGCAAGGCTTGCACCTCACTGGCCATGCCACAGCTTTGCTAACCCTGCTCTGGCAGAGCCTGGCCCGTGCCAAGTGCCTGTGTCATGGGAGTGAGTTAATAGTGAGAAGCCGAGGTGGTGCTGACAAGGCAAACTGCTCATTGCACAACCAGCCGAGCCTCGCGCTGCTCACGGGTTAATTTTATACCAGCAAAGACCTGCCACCTACCAAGGATTTAAACCAAAATAACCCCAACTACCATTTAGGCTTTACACTGATCCCACTGAGGCTTCTAGCTGGGAAAAAAAAGAACATTTCACATAAAATGTAATATTTAGAATAGGCACAGGGCCTTTGGTCAAAGTCCATAGGGTACATGTTCAGCCAGCACCACGTGGGACGTGGTTCTCATAATCTCAGTGTCCTTTTCTCAGCTAGAGCACAAAAAACTGTGTTTGAAACAACAAAGTGAAAGATATTAGGAATGAGATCAATGGCCAGAGATATTAAATTAAATGTAGCTCATTTCAATGCACAGTTTATGAATTAGTGGTCTAATGGGAAATGCTTGCCCCTTCCCTTATTTCAATGGAGAAATCTGAATATATGCAGGTTGCTCCTCTGATGTGAGTGAATAATTCCCCCATTACAATGAATTTGGAAGACTCTTGAATACATCTGCTGCCACGAGAGTTCAGATTTATAGCCTCAGACGCTGTTTAACTTGTAATTAATATGGACTTCCGCATTTCTTTTTCCTCTTCCAGAATAATATCCTATTAGTCATGACAGCAAAAAAGTGCCCTATTTGGGCAACGATTCAACTTCTTCTGAGCTCCCACTGACATCAAGTCCCACTTGTCCAGAGCAGGGACTTGATGGAACAAACTGCAGGGACCTGCTGGGGAAATCTTATTTGCTGTGGATTGCTCCAACTAAAAATACCATTCTGCAACTTCAAAGGGGGGATAAAGGTAGAAATGAGTGAAATGCAGGGATTTGGACCTGCTTGGTGTCTTTCTGACTTTATCTCTTACGAAGCTCTCTTACTCTCTTCCGGAGTGCATCAGGACATCAGGGTACAGGGAACCTGCCTACATCCTGCAAGCACGATGCTGGAGGCATCTGCTATGGAAAGGGCCAGGATGAAGCTGTTGCTTCTGAACCCCATGGAATGTTTTATCTCCTGCAGCCCGCGCTACAGTTGCGTGCAAAGCACATCACCTCCACTTCCTGTATGGCACAGGTAGGGTCCAAGGAGCAGTTCTGCCCTCTAACCTAGGTGAGATTCCTTGCAGGGAGCAAGTGTTATCAGAGAATAACCATCCCGGTTGCATGTTCCCCTGACAAGCAGCATTAGGCAGAAAAGAATTAATCTCTGGCAAATCCTGAGCACAACTTTGGAAAGGATTCAAAGCAGGGAGAGGGCTCCGCAGCCCAGCAGCTGGCTGGAGCTCCACGCAGTATTTTAGAAAGCTGACGAGGAACCTCCTGTGCAACACATGAAAGCTGATCCTGAAATGCAGATTATGCCTCCCTTAATTCATCCTGAAGAGCGATACCTCTGCTGCAAACCCCTTCCCGAGCAAAACCTCCGCCTGAACAGCTGAACTTGGAAAAGTTATCCGTGCAAGGAATTCAGACTTAGACACCCGTACTGCACAGCGCGGGATGGACGGGAAACGGATTCAAGAATGATGCCATTCATTGAGATCATGTTTTGTGGGTTGGCTACTTGCATTTTCCCCATTTTCCTGGTATGAAGAAGGATGGACAAAGCGAGTGCATGGGATAAGCTGCACCCCAGCAGGGTGGGCTGCACAGCCACCAGCTCAGCTCCCTGCCACCACTGGCTCCATGTGCTGCAGCCATCCCAACCTGAGGCTTTTGGGGACCCCCAGGAAGAGGCTGCTCCCCTGTCACTCTATGGGTCTTGCAGGGACCCTCCCGCAAGCAGCAGCGGGCATCGTTCAGTTCAATTCTGCATTATCAAACTTCTCTGGCTCTTCCTATTGGAAACTTTTAACAATTCTCTGCTTGGCTGGAACGGATGACTGCAGCAAACCCAAATTAGGAATAAATTATACAACAACTTTACATTTTTCTTACAAAGGAAAACTGTGTGGCAAGAGCTGTGAAAGCACCTCCTTCCCATGGCCTCCCTGCGAGGCTTGTGGAGGAAGGCCACGGGCTCCACAGATGGCTTGGGATTTAAAAACAAAACAGCAAGAAGCAGCCCCGGTCCCAGTTTGGGATCTGCTCTGCCATGCACTGGCTTGCACCCCCCCCTCCGCTCCCCAATATGCGTGAGGGCTGCTGAATGCAAGAACCAAGCTGCAACAGCAAATCCACCCATTTAAAAGAAGCTCCAAAAGCTGCATCTGCTGACATATGGGCATCTATTTCCACAATGAATGGCCGGAGCAACTCCTCCTTAAAAACATCTCCAGCCGGCTCTTGCAGGGACTGTTGCATTCCCACTGCATTTTTGCAATATTAAACTCCCCACCTCCTCCCTCCCACCAACCATCACCCCTTCCTTGCAGGACACAAGGCAGAATCACTCCGGATCAGTTCACAAGCAAAGCTCAAACCTTGCCCACCACGCTGGCAAAAGAAAGCCATCAATGCAAGAAGAAGAAGAAGAATAAATCACTGCCGTCCCCTCCCCAAACGCTAAATAAAGCAGCTCTCAGCGATCTGGTGTTACAAACCTCCGACCAAAAGTTACCAAATATTGAAGGGGGGGAATGGGGAGGGGGGGGGATCGGTGGAAAATGATCTCAGTCCTGGCACAAGAACAATACTTTCCCATGGAAACATAGAGGTATATATTTAATTCCTTGCTCACTCGCACTCAAGTTTCACCTTTCATCTCCTCCCAGGACTTGTTTCAAAGTTTCATCTCAATGAAACGAGCCCGCAATCCGCACGCACGGCCACAACCCCGTTTTACTCCTCGACACCCTTTTATCTCCTCGCTGACCGGTGCAGGAGGTGGGGGGCACACACACACTCGGTGATCCCGGCTGAAGAATCCCACTAACGCCAAAGCGCAGCTGAACGGCGAACGCAGCCTGCAGGAACGGTGGATGTGTGTGTGTGTGTGTGTGTGTGTGTGAGTGCGTGTGCGCACCCGCGCCCAACAGGAAATGCAACGGGGGGAGCCACGGAGAAGCCTCAAACTTCAAATTGCAATTGCATCCCGAGCACAAAACGCATCCATGCATGCGTGCACCTCGCGAATGCATGCACGGCCGTCTGCAGAGCTGCAAGGAAGAGAAGCAGGAGCCTTACCTCTGGGCTGAGACATGTTTTTTCCCCCCCTTGTGCTTTGCAGGGGGCGGGGGGGGATAGATGGGCAGCACAAAAGACTTTGCCTCGCCCCTCCTCTGGAGCTAGTTTTGCACACAAAGATGCAAACTGCACCGCGCTCGCTCTTCGTGCACCTGGAGTTCTCCTGCCTCGCTGCTGCAGCGCGCCCTGCAGCGGGGGTGCGCAAAGGGGGGGGTGCACGTCGGGGGGGCTGCGCTGCGCTTGCACGCCGTGCAGCAGAGGCCCGCGGGGGGCTCGCTTCCCCCCCCCCCGGCGCGGTGTGGGGCAGCCTCCGCGGCACCTACATGATGGGCCGGGGCTGGCGGCTCGAACCTCCAAACTTGGAGCGGGGGGGGGGAGGTTTGCGCACAGCGCAGGCGCCGAGCCCACGGCTGCCGCGCTGCAGACTGGGGCTTGGAGTCTCTGCCCCCCCTCCTCCTCCTCCGGCCGCTGCGCGCTGCTCCCTGCAGGGGGCGCAAGGGGCTGCGCGCCCGCGGAGCCTGCGCGGGGACTGCCGCGAAGTCGCGCGGGAGCGGAGCGGGGAAGTGATGGCTCCGCGCTGGGGACGCGGAGGGGGTGCGGGAGCGAGGTCGCTGCTGCCTCCCGGCGCTGCCCTCCTCGCTTCCCTGCCTCCTTCCCTGCCTCTTTGCCTCCTTCCTTCCCATTGCCCTGCCTCTCTTCCTATGCCCCTGCCTGCCTGCTCTGCCTGCCAGCACGCTGTGCAGTGCACTCCAGGCACCGTGCAGGGGCTGCCGCCTGCCCTCCTCGTGTCCCCACGTCTGGGGGAAGGTGGCATCCACCCAGTGCAAACGCAGCCCTTGGGAAGCAGGGAGAGGCTCTGGGGCTGGCGCCGTGGCTGGAAGTGGATATGATGGGATGGTGCGGGAAGCATTGCCCTGTCTCTCCCGCCACGCGCTTGGGTACCACTGATGCTGCCGATGTTGGGTGCACACCAAGCTTCCACCGGCTGCCCTGCGCTGGGCATGGGTACCACATCAGGGCTCCATTCTGTCCCCATTGGCTTTAGATTCCAAGGATCTGTTGGAGAGGGACATCTTGCCTTTGTGCTAATGTGATGCCCAGGGCATCATCAGACATTCTGCATAGCGCAGTGGTGCCTGGGCTTAACCAGTGCCCCTGGTAACCTTGTATAATAAAAGATATTTTTAATCCTTTTATATTTTTTTCCCCTCACAGGCAGATCAGATAAAGTGAGTTTGCCCAAGTCTGTTTTCTGAGGTGGTCACCTCGGTCCCTGTGGCATCATGGAGGTTACCCATGGGAAGAGGTGATGCAGTGACATCCCCCAGGGATGGGGATGCTGCCTGGATCAGGAGCCCAGCTGTACGCTGGGGTGTAGTAGGTGGGTACCCACTTCCATACATAGGGACTCCACCTCGGGAAAAGCCCCTAAGGAAAGGCAGGCCTTCCTAAACCTGTGCTTTACGTTAAATACATATTTTGTTACAGCAACATTGGAAGAACTAACACTGGAAAATGAAATACCCAAAACCTGAGCGCTAAGAAACATGTGGTGTGGCTGATTTTCACACTCCTCTGTGTCCCTGCCAGCCCCATGGGCTCAGCTCACGCTAGGCTGGCGCTGGGCAGGATTTTGGCCCTTTTATCTGCAAGGACTGAAGTCTGGAGGAGGCTGTACCCCTCCATTAGGGATCTGTTTGTGTTTGGGGTGAGGGAAGTATGCTGCCACATGTGGTCCTTCCTGCCAAGCTGCAGCTAGATCAAATCCTTACAGCCAAGTGATAAATCCCCCAAATGAAAGGTTTACGATGGAAATGCTGACAACCCCTTCACTAACCCCTTACAAATGGCAGCGTTCAGACTCAGTAGCTATAAGCTAAATGAGCAGCGGTGCCAGCAGCCTTCGAGGAGCACTGTAGTGAGCAAGGAGGCCTTGTGTGGGTAAAGACTATGGCTTTTAATGCTTCTAACAGACTTCTGCTGGTGTGCCCTCTATGCAGGTACAGAGTGAGGGATGCTCCTTTGGTTTTTCATTGGGTGAGAACAAAAGCTTGGTTGTTTTAGGGCATTTTTTTCTATAGAGGATGGAGTCATAGATAGAATCATGCAGGGCGATGTACAGGAACCAGCGAGGTGCCTTGTGTGAGCTCATGTCTCCCAGTGCATGGAAGTTAATTCTCTAGGAACACTGCTTTAATCATCTGGTGTCAATAAGTAGTGCCACGCCATGTGCATCCCTGTGCAGTCGTCTTATAGGAAGTAAATTACCATGTTATGCATGGCTCTGAAATAGAGGAGTCCTGCAAAGTGCTTGGAGGAGCATCTTAAAGGAAAGAGTTACTCCTAGGAGGAGTCCAAAGGGATCTGCTTTCTATATCTGGGTCTGGCCATACCTTTACTTTTAATACTGACCCTATGTAGAACTGGAATCATGTACATGGTACAGTTTGTTTCTTCCTCTTCCCAGCTTGCTCCCTCATTGCTAAGAGCCTATTCTGCTGCAGAGCAATTGGACAAACGTGCTGTGGTTTCAGGGCACCGCTGAACGAACATCTCCTCTCCGCGTTTGTAAACAGGGGGTTTGCACCAAAATATGCCTTTGTGTTAGCCACGGCTCCGTTTCCAGCGTGCGCTTT